GCATTCAGCCGAATGGGAGGAACGGAGGAGGAGAGCTCCCCACCCAGCTCTGGAAAAAGGTAAGTTTTACCCCTTTTCCCCTTTCCAGAGCCGGGCAGGAGGGCGACCCTGAGGGTGGGGGCACCCTCAGGGCACTATAGTGTCAGGAAAACGAGTATGTTTTCCTGGCACTATAGTGGTCCTTTAACCTGTAAAATACACAAGAATACAGTGTACAACAAATATAGAGATGTAACCATTGGAGAGAAAGACCAGCTGCTTCTGTACTAGGTTAGGGATCCCAGTGGCGTACACACGATCCATGGGGCCCCGGTGCGAAAATTGATCCGTGGGCACCCCTGCGCTTAATCTGCGTGGGCCGGGGCTGCAACACATGGTGGTGGGCACCTGGTCGCAGGGGTCACGTGACCCCTGCGACCGCGGTATGTACGCCACTGCGTGCAGATACATACCACTATAGGCACTCAGATCACTTCAGCTCAATGAAGTGGTCTGGGTGCCGGGTCCCTCTAGTTTTAACCCTGCAGCTGAAAACATAGCAGTTTCAGAGAAACTGTTATGTTTCACTGAGAGTTAATCCAGCCTCTAGTAGCTGTCTCACTGACAGCCGCTAGAGGTGCTTCCGCGATTCCCACTGTGAAAATCTAGATGTCCATAAGAAAGCATTGAGTAATGCTTTCCTATGTGCGGTTTGAATGTGCGAGAGGTTCTCGCATGCACATTCGGAGCTAAGAGACGGATCAGGGCGGAGAGATCACCAGCACAAAGGGAGCCCAGTGCTGGAGAAAGGTAAGTGCTGAAGGGATTTGAACCACACACTCTCACGAACAGACGCATACATACTAGCTAACAGACACACACATTTACTGACAGACACACACAGTTACTGACAGACAGACACACACTCAGTGACAGACAGACATACACACTCACTTACAAAACATACACTCTCACTAACAAACACACACTCACTAACAGACACACACACAAAATTACACGCTCAGTAACAGACACACACAGTAACACACTCACTGACACACACACTGACCCTCACTAGCAGACACACACTCAATAACAGACACACACAAACTAACACACAACTAAGACAGACAGTAACAAACACAAAAACTAACACACTCACTGACACACTAGCAGACACACACTCAATAACAGGCACACACAAACACACAACTAACACACTCAGTAACAGACACACAAACAGCAATGCACAAAAATTAACACACACACACTCATATATATATATTTTTTACATTGAATCCCCCAGCTTCCCTACCTTTGGGAGTGCTGAGGGGATTTCCTGGGGTCCAGTGGGGCTGCCCGGGGCCAGTCCTGCAGGCGGCGAGGGAGCACTGAGACTCTCCTGTTCAGCTCCCGTCATATTCATGACGTCATATTCCGGCTCCGACATCAGTGCGGTGCGCGCGAGGGAGCTGGGCAGAGAATGCTCAAGGGAGAGTGCTACCTCGAGCGGCCGCCCGCCTGGTGACACCAGGGCCAGCCTCGAGGGGCCCTGAGGTGGTAAGCTCCTGGGCCCCCCAGGAGAAGAGGCTGGCCACACTGGCGTACATACCCGGTCGCAGGGCGTCCGGGCCCCCTGGTGGGCCGGGCCCGTTCGCAACTGTGACCCCTGCGACCGTGGTATGTACGCCAGTGAGAGGTCCCATTGACCAAGAACAGAAATTTAGAGTAGGCCTAATTGCAAACTTTGAATAGTGTTTCTAGTCTTTTCACTTAGAGAACACATCTGCAATTATGACTTTGTAGCCATTTAAAAACTTTTATCACATGCATTAAAACGTAGAATTTTAGTAGTTAATGAAGGCACAAATAAGATACAGATTAGTACGTTTGTCACTTTAGATATTTGGCTTTATGGAGGGAGTTTCCTATAATACTCTGTTAAGGAAGTGGGTGCATTACTACAGGGGGTTTCAGAGGGTCAAACTCTGACTTTTTTGAACTCCAATCTCATCAAGATTGAGAGCTGTTACTTCAGAGCTAGACATACAGGGAGATAGTAAGAGACACATGGATTGTGATGAAGAGACACACAAGGGACACAATGTTTGGCATTGAAGGGGGACACCCAATGGTGGGCATCATAAGAGGGAATTCAGAATAAAACTCAAATGGGTCATGGCTGGGGATAAAGAAAAGGGACATAAAGAGGAGGACACACATGGACAGACATGTCAGAGTTGCACACAAGGTGGTAATTGAGAGGAGCACATTAAAAGGAGAGGCATTTAGGAGTTGTGAAAATACAAGGAATCATGGAGAGTGATACACAACAGTGCCTTCAGAGGGGACATACACAAGGGTAGGCATTTCAGAAGGGCAGACAAGGTGGGCATAGAGAAAGACACACAAGAGGGGGTGTGGCCTAGCTGCAGATGGAGTAGGACAAACACTGCATGAGGTCCTAGGCCTCAACCCGTACAAGCCTTGAAATAATAGCAAAAACTATCGCATACATGGGGAAATCGAAGAGGGTAGACACACTGGGACCAGGTGGGGAAGACCGAATGGCCCCAAGGAGTAAGAAAGCCGAACAACGCACTTCTGGTTGCCAGAAAGAATTACAAGCCAACGACCCTGCGCAAAAAGCTGACTGCCACCCCTGGGACTCACCTACAGTCCGGAGACACACTGGTGAGATGCCAACCCCGGCTGGGTATGTACTGTACACCCCCGTTCCCTTCCCGCTCATCCCCTAGTCTGGTCGGCATAAGCACCGGAGCGACCCCTGGATTGGGAGGGAAATGGGCCAAGGGGAATGGAACCACTGGTACTGCCTGCAGCCAGAGGGACAACCACTAACCCCACAATGGGTCAGCCATAGTATGCTTGATTGGGGAGGGGTGTGAGGACCAGGAGTAGGTCGGGAGGCCTGGGGCACTTCAGGCTGCAAACAAGGGGGACCCACAGCTTATGCAGCAAGAGCCACATCTAATACCTAAAACAAGGCCTACTTTCTGAGGATAACCACAAAGAGCACGCTGGAGATTCCAGGCAGCTGAGATAGGGGGTTGGGGTGGCTGGGTGCAGTGGCGGTGTGGGAGCCACGTGCCCGCAGTGCCCCAGGAAGACCAAATGCTACCTGGTGCCACTATTCTGCGCTTACATGAGGTGTAAAGGCTGGGGACGAGGTGACCGCGTGGCCACGAAGAAGCCAGATAACAAAATATGAATAGTTGATAAGTTGACATGTTAATGTTGTATGTAACTCTGGTTAGACGATAGATACTCTTATGACTGAAACATGAGAAGTTTGTGGGCCCTCCCTGCGACCGGAGACACCATAGTGAAACCCTGGGGCAGCTGGGGATGACCGAGTGAAGCTCTGAACTGACATACAAACAATGGGCCCTTACGTTTCTAAGTCACGACAGGCAACCCCTTCGTGACTTAAGGGAGATATAGGGAGTACCAGGGCATTCCAGGAGGGCGGGCACCCCCAGGAGGAGAAACCAGGTACACTTACACGGGCAGCCGCACGGCGACATAGGGCACACCCCAAAACACAAAGATTGTTAGCCCTAGACAAAAACACCCCATCACGAAAGTGCAACCCACCCCCCCAAGCTGCTAGGCTGAGGACGAGGGCTAACACCCTAAAGCCCCCTACTACAGGTTGGGTGTCAATGGAAAGGCGGACAGTGACACTCCCCAAACATTAAGAGATAGACACCGAAAGTAGCCATCTGAGCTCCCCTCTCAACCGACCCAAATTGTAATTGGGATCAGAGTTCAGAGTGGTGCACTGGTTTACATCACCCCCGACCTAACCACCGATCTCCGTCCCTTTAGCCCTCCTTTACCACACACTCATGTCCCTCCCCCTCTTAAACAACTCACCCACATGCCAAGACCCCAGGAGTCCGAGTGGGCTGGCCGCGCTCGGCAACTATGTCTGGATTCCGCCCAGCGCAGCTTACATATTGGTCAAACGATGTCAGAGGGCTCAATCTCCCTGAGAAACGCTCCCAACTGCTCAGGCAGGTTTGGTCGGGTAGGATGTCCATGGTGTTCCTGCAGGAGACGCATTTTAGGGGCCCAGGGTCACCGAAACCCGAGAACCACCGTTTTCCACTAGGGTTATACGCAGGGCTGGCGCTACCTGTTAGGTGGACTAGGCTGCCGCAGCGGCCAGGAGCGCCGGCCCCCCTCATGCTGCAGGTTCTGTAGAGAGCCTCAAGCGACTGCAGCTTTGCCCGGGCTGGTGCGTCCATGAGGGGCAAGCGTTCAGCGCTCCCTCCTGTCACTCCCTCACTGTAGCATGGCCGAGCCCTGTATGGTCCGCGGGTACAGGGAGCATCTGTTTCCTGTACCTGGCCGGACTAACAGGAAGTGCACACTGAGTGAGCACTTCCTTTTAGTCCGGCCGGGTACAGGAAACAAAAGCTTCCCTGTACCCTGGACCATACAGGTCTCGACCACGCTACAACAGAGGTAGGAGGGGTGGGAGAAAATAGATTGACAGGAATGGGGAGAATAAATTGACAGGAGTGAGGGAGAAATAAATTGACAGGG